ATCGGCTGCCCATTTAATTTTGATCATTTTATGTTTGTGAAAATAATTGTTTTGGGTTCTTTTCATATTGTTCGCTTGTTTTTTTTCTCAGCCGATCAAAGAAACAGAACCTGAGGTGTTCTGAACTTCTGTGTTCAGTGATGTTAGTTAGGTTAAATAACGAAAATACCCCTGAGGTTAGGACTAGCTAGAAAAAGCTCAAGATGTATATAACCAAATTGACAAATTTGTTCGATTTCCTATCGAATTTAATTTGTGATTCGAGTTTGAATTTGAATTTCACGAATACGGAATTCAAATCACAAAACCAAAAAAAAAATAAAAATCTTTTACAACCCTGTGTGTGTGTGTGTGTTTGTAACTACTGCTGATTCTTTCAGTTTCAGCTACAATTCTTACCTTATGGATCTTGAATGTTAAAGAATGAACTAAAAAATGATAGTAATGTAGGCTAGTAGTAGTTATATAGCTCTGAACCAAACCTATTAGAACTCAATAGTCAATGCAAGAAAACAGGAGAAATACAAGGAATCCCACCTAGATCTCATTCTTGTTTGTACTTACTGTCTAAATTTTTACACTTCCTAATACTTTTCATTTCATAGTGTTTTTCATGTGGGATTTTTCAGGTTGAAAAAGCCATATCAGACAAAAAGCAAATAATCTTCACAGGACACTCTTCAGGTGCATCCACAGCCATCCTTGCATCCATTTGGTTTTTCGAAAAGTACATAAGATTAAATCGGTACAACATATCCCCTTTCTGCCTGACTTTCGGGTCCCCACTTGTCGCGAGCCACATTTTCTCTCATGCACTCAGGCGCGAAAACTGGGCTCGTTTTTTCATCAATTTCATGACAAAGCACGACGTTATACCTCGGATAATGCTAACTCCTCTCCCGCAAATCGAGCACGGACTTACTCACGTATTGGAATTTCTCAACCCGAAATCCCCTTACGATTTTCTCGATCCCAATATTGCTTCGAGTTTTATGTTAGCCGTGATGAGAAACTCTTTATCTGTCGCGAGCCATGCAGCGTGTTATCTCAAGGGCTGCACGAATTTGTTGCTCGAGACTGTGGCTAATATTGTCGAGCTCAGTCCTTATCGGCCTTTTGGGTTTTTCGTTTTCTGCACCGGGAATGGGAAATTGGTCGTTCTTGATAATCCAGATGCCGTTTTGCAGCTGATGTTCTTCAGTCTTCAGTTGGGCCCGGAAGAGAAAAGTTGGGATTTTATTCGTGGGATGTTTGGGAAGCATTTAGTGTACGAAAACGAGTTGAACGAGAGCTTGAATATGCAAGACGTTACGTATTTAGCGAATCTGGTCGATGTGCCCTTGTCTTCTTCTGCTTACGATGCAAGTGCAGCTCTAAATGATCTCGGGTTGGTACGTGATTTCTCGTTTTTTCATTCTTTCATCTTCTTGTTCGGATATATATTTTGTTATACTAGTAAAGTGCACGTGCATCGCACGTGGTGGCAAATTTTTTTGTCGATTAAGTTTAGTAAAATAAATTAATTAATTTATTAAACATATCATTGCAAGAACAAAATAAAATGTAGAACAAATGAAATCCTAATGTATTTGTTTTTTCAAAAATAACATAACGATGTACTAATATAAACAGAATAAAATAACATGTTACAACCAACAAAAATATATACAAAATGAGTCAATAATTTTTTTTTTTTTCTAAAAAAAAGACACTAAATAACAAAATAAAGACATAATTTATAATATAAATGCATTAGTTCTTTTATTTATTTATGTTTGATGATTCAAGAGTGATTTACTTTCATTTTAGTTTTGAGACGTTCTCATAAAAAAACATACGTACACATTCGAGTTCTATACATCAATAGGTAAATTCTTCTTAATTCATTAGACAAAAAGTCTACTTTATTCAAACAATGCAAAATATTTTGTCTAAACATATAGTTGAACTCTATAATTATGATCTTTATAAGGTATTGTTAATAACAGTTAATGAATATCTCAGTGAAATAATCAACCGTGTCATTAAAATTGTTGATATATTTTTTTTAAACTACTTCATTTATTCTCTCTCCATATAGACAAATTGACACCTCCCACATGGAGGCATCCCCCACCGGGTGAGAATGAGTTTCATTTCCAAATAAAAGTTGACCTTTCAAAATCTTGGTTACATATACTTCTCCCGAGAAACTAAATTATTTTTTTAAATCATCATACATTACGTGAAAACTAAATTATTTTTTGAAATCATCATACATTCCATGAAAGTATATACTCTAGAGTAATTGCATATATGTTCGAGCACAATACCCAATGGGAATTGTAAATATTTCAAAATATGATAACATCATTCAAAAATTCAATAATATTTTGATCATGCCCCGACATTTCCTTTTCAATGTTATTTATTTAGAAGATAGACGAACTATATAATATGTTGTTTGCAAATCATTGAGCATCTTGGTTGCTCCAATGATTTCAGACGCTTTTATTGTCCAAATTTTTGCATCAATCATAATGTTTCAAAAATTTATGATAAATATCTTTTCTTGATTCTTTAACAATGAAAAAAAAACAATGAGATAATATTGAGAAACATATCCTTTGTTAAAATATTAGAGAGGAGAAAAATTAAAATTCTATTATATTATAATACTCTTCACTATCTGTGAACTTTATTATAACAAAGTCATTATTAAAATATACATTATGTATTACAAATTTTTTTAATTATTTAAAAATTCAAAATTTATAATATAGGATCAATATATATGAGAATTTAAACGCCAATAATTAAAAATGTAGTAATTAGAAAAGACTTTTGTTTCTAGATGTTGATATTCATATTTCTCTAAAAAAAAAAATCAGATTTCTTTTTCCTCATTCCCTTACTATTGTTTTATGTGTTTCTTATTGTATTCACAAATAATATTTTATTTATTAAAAGAATTAGGACATATTTATATGTATTGTTTAATTTTTTACGCATTTTATATAATTATGTTGTTATCAAAGTACTTACTTATTAGGGTACAACTATAATCGCGTAAGATAAAATATAATTTAATATTACTTATTTATTTATTTATAATAATATATATTTGATAAAATTGTACTTTTATACTGTTTATAAGATTAAAAAGTTTACATTTTTTTTCCAACAGTTGAAATATGATCCGAAAACAAATTCTAACTGAAATTCACAAAATAATAAGTAATAATAATTATACTCATTAAATCAACAAAAATTTCAATATAATTCAATTTGATCTCTATTGAAATAGACAATGAATTTTTTCAATGAAAACTACACCAATGAAATATTCATTGCAATTTTTAGTGGAATACCTACAATTTTTCTCTTAAAAATATATTTAACACATGAACTTTTTAGTCCATATATTTTTTTAAAATCACTCATTATTTTATCTCAAAATTACCTATTAATTTCTCAATTGAGTTAAATTTCTTAAAATTAAAGAATAAAAATAATTATTATTTGATATATGTAATATGATATTTACATATTATATTCAAAAAAATAATAGAAAATAAAAGGTTATTTAAAATTAAAATAATCATTTTTTTCTAAAAAATAAAAGTTCTAACCTACATGAATAAAAGTACAAATAACTATTGTCTATCACCTAAAACTTACACATAGAACTAAAGCACAAAAAATTAACAAGCATTGTACAATTCAGTTCGTTTGCACCGATAAGTAAAATTTAAAAAATAAAAGTTTTAACCTACATGGATAAAAGTACATATAACTATTGTCTATCACCTAAAACTTACACATAAAACTAAAGCACAAAAAAATTAATAAGCATTAAACAATTCAGTTCCTTTACACCGATAAGTACAATTTTAAAAGTTTTATGTTTATTTTTATTAATTATAACATTTTTATTTATTACTTCTTTTCATATTTATTAGTAAGTATGACAACTTAATTATATTTTTTTATAATATTTGGCAAATTTAATATTTTTGTATTTTATATTGTTCTTTCATATGGTCTTCACCTAATGGTTAGGTGAAAATTCGTTAACTTTAGTGCCTTTGTGACAAAAATTGGTGAAAAAAATCAAACAAGCAAATAAATAACGTTTTTTGTGAGATAAAAATTCAATTCAATAAATATAAGGTGCAATTTCTAAATGTAAGAGTGTATTTTTCTTAATAACGAAATAGCTAAATGAATTAATCCACTTTTTTAGTTTGTTAGATTATGTATATATTCACTATACCCATGAATATTCGTTGTGATTTTCAGTGGAATGTCCGACCGTTGTATTTTTTATTGCAATATAGCAATTTTTTTAAAACTTAATTTCATGTAGTAGTTTTTGTTATTAATTGAAGTAATTACTATTTTACATTAAAATTATATTATAAGTAAGTTGTTTTTCAAAATATCAATTATATGGGTTGATTTTTGGAGATATGAAAGAAGCATTTTGACAGATATGTGAAAGAAACAAATTCGTGAGGAATAATGGTATAATATTAATTATTGATTAAAAATATAAGATATGATGAGTATTATTGTATTACTAATTTGTCACTAAAAATAAGTCAAAGTAAGGGTTTTTTAGGTAGTTCATTTGTTAATTAAAAATATAAAATAAGATGGATATTACAGTATTACTAATTTGCCATTAAAAATATGTCAAAGCAAGGATTTTTTAGGCAGATCATTATTTTTACAAAATCACTCGTTCTTTTATAATAGTATATATATATATAGATATAGATAGATATAGATATAGATATAGATATAGATAGATATAGATAGATTGTTTTCCTTTGAATACATACTATTAATACTGTGTATGATTAATCGTTAGACAACAAGAGCAAGATTATGCCTCCGTGCAGCCGGCGAACTCGAGAAGCAAAAACGGGAAAACGAGAAAAAAATCAATTCAAACAAGGACACCATCAAGGAAGCTTTAACAAGAATTCAAGAATACAAAACAAGCTGCGAAATTCGCAAGATCGGCTATTACGATGCCTTCAAGATCCAAAAGGACACAGTCGATTTCGACGCCAATGTCAAGAGGCTTGAGCTCACCGGAATATGGGACGAGATAATGGAAATGATCAAGAGGTACGAGCTTCCAGATGGATTCGAGGCCCGGAAAGAGTGGATCGAGCTAGGGACTTTGTTCCGGAGGCTTCTCGAGCCCTTGGACATAGCAAATTACTATAGGCACTTGAAGAATGAAGACACGGGCCCGTATATGGTGAAGGGTAGACCCAAACGGTATAGGTTCACGCAAAGATGGCGGGAGCATGCAGAGAGGATGGAGATTGGGATGGGCTCGGAGACAACGTTTTGGGCCGAGGTCGAGGAGTTGAGGGTTAAGCCATATGGGCTTGTGAAGGATGAGATTTTGAGGTTAGAGGAAAAAATGGTGACTTGGGTTAACAATGGATGGCTTAAGAAAGATGTTTTCTTAGATGAGTCCACTTTTACCAAGTGGTGGAGGACTTTGCCTTTTGAGCATAGGTTAGGGTCTTGTGTTTCAGGGTTTATAAGCACAACCTAAGTCTTTT